TAAGTAATTGTAATGAATCGATATAAACCGATTTATAATTAGGAAGCAATTTGACCTTTATTTATTATATTAGAATGCTCTTGATAATGGCGGTCTTAGCCCACAGTCGGCAAATACAATAGTGGATGAAGAACTTGCATTAAAGCCTCAAGACAATGAACATCTCTCTACTAACCTTGAACCTGTTTGTGACCCCAACACTACATCCCTTTCTCAAAGTAGTTCGATACTATTTTCACAGAAGAAAATAGATAACTTGTTTGGTGTTAGTCAATATGGTCAATAGCGTTACTTTTTTTTGTATATCTGTATTCTTATTTGTAACAAACATTATGTATAAAACTTTTATATATCACATTTATCATATATATTGCATATCGTATATTAGTAAAATAAAAAAAATTAGTTACTTTTCAGTTTTATTTTCTTTTAATTTGATATTTTTCAAAATTAATTGTTACAATATTAAATATAGTAATTTATATCGTTATTGTTATATATTGATTTATGTCGATTTATATTGATTATTATAATCGATTTTTATCGATTTCTATCATTTCAGGCTATATATCGATTTCCTTTGTTTTGGATACATATCGATTTTTATTTATTTGGCTATGTATCGATTACTATCCTTTTTAGTTATATATCGATTTGTATCGTAATCATTATAAATCAGCAGGAAAGATTACAATTGATACATATCCTCATAGTTAGTAATCGTTATCTAGCAGTCTATTTTTTTTGCTGATGTAGTTAATTATTATTTTTTAAATTTCCTAATGTGTATCAAATTTTTTTTAAACTTAGAGCAAAAATATTTTGATAATCACCTAATTAAATTCAGTGAAATTTTTTTTATTTGAATTTTATAGATCCATAGAATTCAAATAAAAAAAATTATTAAACTTGGTCAAGTGGTTGTTGAGATATCTTCACTCAAAGTTTTGATACAACTTTTATTTTGACAGGATAAAATATGCATTGCATATTGCATTTTAGGTTTCACTTAAATTAGTTGATCAATGCAAATTTTACTAATTGATAGCACAGGTTTCACTCTGTTATAATATTATTATCATATTTATTTAGTAAATATAAGGTTTTAATTTTATCATATACTATAGATCAAAACTATTTGAAATTAATTTTGCTTGTAATATTATATTTAAAAGTTTTGTAAAGCCATTCTTATTATTATATACTGCGGCGCATATGTTCACATATAATCTACGAAAAAAATGTATACATATGCACATATGTGCACATCATATTTCTCAGTCTACTCTATTTTAGACTAATACAGTACGAAGCTTTAATTTGTAATCATACTTTATTTTTTAAATTTTAATAATTTGTCCTTTAATTTGTTAAAAAGCTTACATATCTATAGTGCAAACAACTTAGTTTTAACAAATAATTTTGATTAAATTTAAAATATGTACTATATAATTTTTGTTTACAAAAAGCAATAAACAAAAAAATCTTTTCATACAAGATGTTCTAAGCAAAATGTTCTATTATTGAACCTAGCTGCCGCACCAAAATTTCACGGATGATCCTCGATTTTGATTGGCTAACGGCCGTGATCTACAAAA